TCACCTACCTGCTGACCGACCTTGGAGAGCCGCCTCGTTCTCCTCCAGTCCTGTACGTAGACAACAAGGCCATGCTGGCCTTGTGTCGAGAGCAGAGACTGGAGCACAGAACAAAGCACATTGCTCTTCGCTACTTCCTTGCTCGTGAGCTGCAGCAGCGTGGTCAGTTGCGGCTTGCGTACGTGGCCTCTGAGGCCAACACTGCTGATGTTTTCACCAAGGCACTTGTGCCTTGTGATCATCAGCGCTTCTGTACTCAGCTTGGTCTTGTGCCTGTCTTACCTCACTTGCTTACTTCTTGACCTTGCTTGTACTGTCACATATATATATACTCCTGCTCTTGCTTGCTTAGCCTCTTATGTATATATATATATATATATGTACTCCTGCATGTGAACAGGCCTTCTGGCCTTGAACTTGTGCTCGGAATGTGTGGTGACCTTGTGATCCACCCTGAGCCTTGCTTTGCTTTGCTTGACTGGTCTAGTGACCCCTTGTTCTCCCCCACTTTGCCTATGGGGGTGTGTCAAATTATAATGTTGTGTAGGCTTTAGTGGGGTAGCCCATATGGGGTACACATTTCTAGGGTTGCATATTTGTATCACTCTCATTCCATAGTCATTTCATTGCTCGTTCTAATTTCCTCAAGTCTTCCTCTTGCGCAGCAAGGGTGCCGTCACTGAGGTGTTGATCGACTGGATCCGCGCAGCTCGTCTCCAGCTCAGAGAGAGTTTCGGCTCGGACTTTCCTGTTCTGCGTCTGCACTCTGAGAGAGGCGATGAGTTTTCCTCTGCCCGTCTGGGAGCCTTCTATCGAGCAGAGGGCATCCGCCAGACCTTCACGCTTCTGGCCTCTCCACAGCAAAATGGGATTGCTGAGCGCCGCATTGGCATGGTCATGGACGTCGCTCGTACGTCCATGATCCATGCGGCTGCCCCCCATTTTATGTGGCCGTTTGCGGTTCAGTACGCAGCGCATCAGCTCAACCTCCAGCCCCGGGTCTCCTTGCCAGAGACCTCCCCCACCCTACGGTGGACGGGTAAGGTTGGCGATGCGTCTGCGTTTCGGGTCTGGGGATCTCGGGCATTTGTTCGCGACTTGTATGCGGACAAGCTGCCCCCCCGTGCTGTTCCCTGCGTCTTCCTTGGCTTCCTACCTGACGCGCCTGGGTGGCAGTTTTACCACCCCACCTCGCACCGTGTTCTGTCCTCCCAGGACGTCACCTTTGACAAGCCGGTGCCGTACTACCGTCTCTTCCCCTACCGTACTGCGCCCCTCCCCCCGGCGCCGCTCTTCCTTGCGCCTGGTCCTCCCCCGCTAGACCCCCTCCCCCCTCAAGGTCCAGCCCCGTCAGGTGTGTCTCAGGTAGACGCAGTCGAGCCTGTCGAGGTAGCTGTTGACTCTGGTGCTGCTAGAGGTGCTGAGCCTGCGGATGCCGAGTCTGGAGGTGCTGAGCGTGCGGGTGCGGAGCCTGGGGGTGCTGAATCCAGGGGTGCGGAGCCTAGGGGTGCTGAGTCTGGGGGTGCTGAGCCTGGGGGTGCTGAGTCTGGGGGTGCTGAGTCTGGGGGTGCGGAGCCTGGGGGTGCTGAGTCTGCTCGTGTGGCCTCTCGCGGTGCTTCGTCGAGGCGGGAGATACTCTCTCCGCAGGAGCTGCACGAGTGGTTTGCCCGGCGCTGGAGCCGTGCTGCTGGAGCTGGAGGTACTTCTGTTGCTGCTGGTCCCGGGGGTGCTCGTCCTGGCGGTACTGGAGGTGCTGGGACTGGGGGTGCTGCTGCGGCTGCTGAAGTTGGTCCTGCTGGAGGCACTGCTGGAGCTGCTGGCTGTACTGGAGCTGACGGTCCTGCTGGAGCTGGAGCTACTGGAGCCGGAGTTGCTCGGGGTGTTGGCGCTGGAGGTGCTGCTGGCGCTGGTGCGTCTGAGGGTGCTGGAGGTGGCGCTGTTGGAGCTGGAGGTGCTGCTGGCGCTGGTGCTGCCGGTGAGGGAACTAGTGCTGTCCATGCTTGTTCTGGAGGTGCTGCGCGGCCGAGGCCGTACTTCGTTCCGCTCCATGAGCAGGTTCTTGGTCTTCCGCCTTCTACTAGTCGTGCTCCTCCCTTAGAGTGTCCACAGCCTGTCCAGTCCCAGTCACAGTTACAGCTCGCCTCCCCTCTGCCCGCTCCTTCTCCTTACACTGGTCCTACTGGAGGTCTTGCTGAGCGTCGTGAGCCTACGTCTCGTCCTGCGTCGCCTGTTCGTGCTGCTCGCCCTAGTAGTCGTGCTCCGCGTCCGCGTCCTCCTTCGGTCCCAGGCACACACTAGATGGCACTGCGTCCTTCCACTGATCCTCTGCGTGTCCCGTTGTCGTCTCCCCCAGAGTCCTCTCTTCCTCTCCTTGCTGACCCGCAGTCTGACTCTCTTCGTGCTACCAGTCCTACTGTCACGCGTCTCCTGGCTACTTTTGTCACTGACCCTTCCTTTGAGTCCACTGCTGCGTCTGCCTTGGTTGCTGAGCTTGTCGACTTTGCTGCTCGCTGTCGCCTAGACTACGCTGCTAGTCTTGTTGCTGAGTCTGAGTCTGTCTATCCTCCGTCCGTTGGGGGTGAGTGTGCTCTTAGCACGAACGTCCTTGAGGACAGGCAGGAGGAGTTCCAGTGTTTTGCTGCTGCTTTGCCTCATCTCGTGTCCACGCTGATTTCCCCTGAGGGAGACCCGGACGCACCAGACACCCCGACTCCTCGATCGTACGCTGAGGCGATCGAGGGTCCCTACTCCTCTCAGTGGCAGTCACCCATGGACGCAGAGATGGCTTCCTGGAAGTCCACAGGCACCTACGTCGACGAGGTTCCCCCACCTGGGGCGAACATCGTCAGTGGCATGTGGATCTTGAGGGTGAAGCGGCCGCCGGGTTCTCCGCCTGTCTTCAAGGCGCGTTACGTGGCTCGAGGCTTCAGTCAGCGGCAGGGAGTTGACTACTTTCAGACCTTCTCTCCCACCCCGAAGATGACCACTCTTCGGGTGCTGCTGCACATACCCGCTGAGCGTGACTACGAGCTTCACTCTCTTGACTTCAGCACAGCTTTCCTGCAGGGCAGCCTGCACGAGGAGATCTGGCTGCGCCGCCCACCTGGCTTCACTGGGTCGTTTCCTCCTGGTACCCAGTGGAGCCTCCGCCGGCCAGTCTACGGTCTCCGCTAGGCGCCCCGTGAGTGGCACGATACACTGAGGACTACACTTGCGGCTCTTGGGTTTGCTCCTTCTACAGCCGACCCGTCGCTGTTTCTGCGCACCGACACCTCTTTGCCGCCGTTCTACATCCTCGTGTACGTCGACGACTTGGTCTTTGCCACTGCTGACACTGCTGGACTCGCCCACGTGAAGTCTGAGCTGCAGAAGAGACACACGTGCACAGACCTGGGTGAACTGCGCAGCTACCTTGGCTTGCAGATCACTCGGGACAGAGCACATCGCACCATTACCCTGACTCAGTCACACATGGTGCAGCAGGTCCTTCAGCGCTTCGACTTCACGTACTCCTCGCCTCAGGCCACTCCTCTGTCTACTCACCACTCGCTCTCAGCTCTGCCTTCGGATGAGTCCGTAGAGCCGAGTGGCCCGTACCCAGAGCTTGTTGGCTGCCTCATGTACCTGATGACCTGCACACGACCTGACCTTGCATACCCTCTTAGCATCTTGGCACACTATGTTGCTCCTGGGAGACACCGACCAGAGCACATGGCTGCAGCGAAGAGGGTGTTGCGCTACTTGTGCAGTACGTCGGGCATGGGGCTAGTGCTTGAGGGCGACGTCCAGTGGTCCTCACAGGTCACGCAGACGCCTCTTGGGCTGACGACCAGGCTACGCAGCGGTCGTCACAGGGTTACACCTTCAGCCTTGGCTCCGGCTCTGTTTCGTGGCGGTCTACCTGCTCGTCTTCTGTTCTCGGCTCCAGCTGTGAGGCTGAGATCTACGCGGGGGCCATGGCTGCACAGGAGCTACGCTGGCTCACCTACCTGCTGACTGACCTAGGAGAGGCGCCTCGTTCTCCTCCAGTTCTGTACGTAGACAACAAGGCCATGTTGGCCTTGTGTCGGGAGCACAGACTGGAGCACAGAACGAAGCACATTGCTCTTCGCTACTTCCTTGCTCGTGAGCTGCAGCAGCGTGGTCAGCTGCGCCTTGCTTACGTGGCCTCTGAGGCCAACACTGCTGATATCTTTACCAAGGCACTTCCGCCTGGTGATCATCAGCGCTTCTGTACTATGCTAGGTCTTGTGCCTACTTGACCTCACTTGCTCACTTCTTGACCTTGCTTGTACTGTGATCTTTCTATACCTGCACTTGCCTGTTTACCTTTATATATGATCTTGCATGTGAACTGGCTTTTTGGCCCTCCTCTTGTGCTCGGATTGTGTGGTGACGTTGTGATCCACCCTGAGCTTGCTTTGCTTTGCTTGACTGGTCTTGTGACCTCTTGTTCTCCCCCACTTTGCCGATGGGGGTGTGTCAAACTTATATGCTATAGTCTGTGTAGGCTGTAGTGGGGTAGACTATATAGAGTACAACATTTCTAAGTTTTCCTACTTGTACCTACCTGCTTGCTAGTTCATTCATTCCTCATTCTTCACAGCTTCCCGCGGAGATCAGCACAAAAGCCGCGTCTAGCAGCAGCGGGGTGGTGAGCGCGAAAGCGCGGAGAGAGGCAGCTGCGAGAGGCAAGCGGCGCGACAGTAACCGTCAAGACAGGTAAAGCAAAGCGACAACCCGAAAAAGGTAAGATGCAGTTACCATTGATCCTATCAACCCGTCCCACAGTTAAACTCCACTTCCCTATGTTATTCTGACGCTCCATGATGAAAGCATTATGAAACTTGTCATGATGGTGTCCACCACAGAGCGCGCAGGATAGCAACGGGAAGTGAGCCAATAGGGTCGTTCCTCCCAGCAGCTGGTGACGGAACTCATGACGCCAGCGGTGCTTGTCGCCAGCGTGCGGAATCACCAAACCCTTAATCTTGTCAGTATCAGCTCCGCAGGACACGGTGGAAGCAATGGCCTTCGGCGAAGGCAGACTGCTTCCGGATCTTGAGCGAGTGAGCCACCATGATCTCCTTAACCAACTCCGGCGGGATGTCAGCACGTACGTTCTTGAAGAAAACCTCAAGCAGCTGCGGGCTCAAAGCCTTCTTGCGAAGGTAAACCGCATCTTCCTGATGCAGCCAGAAACAGTGGAGCGTCGTGCCGTTCTGACGCTTATGCTCCACCGTAGTCTGCTTGATGTTCACCGCGTCCGATTCGTGCAGGAATGAAACCTGAAGCCGACTGTAGCGGGTCTTGGCGACGAAGGCAGGAAGCAGCTCCTGGAACCTCACCGAAGCAAGAACATCATCAGTAAGCAGGTTAGACCAAACGCGCTTCATCAGCGTCTTCACTGTCAGAATGACCGAAGCAACCTCCCGAGAGGGGATAACCGAGAAGAGCAGGATCGCCGTGAAACGCAGATGCGAGTAAGAGCTCTTAGTCGCGTCATTGTCGAGCTCCTCATCCGAATCATCTTCGATGAAGGAATCATCCGAGACCACCGTCGCCAGCGCCTTCAGCTTCTCTTCAAGAGGAAGTCCGGAGCTGCCAGCCGTCACCTCTACTTCCGACGGAAGATTATCAACAATCTCCTTTCCCTTGCTTGGCGATGTCTTGCCTGTAGGATCACTCCCACCAGCAGGAGCATCAACCACGGGCTTAGCACGCGAGTTCTTCGGAGGCATCGTGCGATGATGACAGTAATCCGGCAGAAGCTCTTAGAACAAGAGCTGTGAGATCTGAATAAACTGATGAGCCGGTCGTCTGAGCACTTCATTGTTAAATGTCAAAGGTCCACTGGTGATCTCCGATTGATCCTAGGGAAGGGTTACAGGCACGTTGGCCTGGGGGGTTATGGGCGCACTTACTCGCTACACAAACAAGCCCTTTTATCCCAATGGTCTAGTGGTTGGGATTCTGACATGGTATCAGAGCGAAGGTCTCGGGTTCGAATCCCAGTGTGTGCACTCCGGGCATCCCAGTGCGGGGGGGTGTCAAAGGTCCACTGGTGATCCCTGATTGATCCTAGGGAGGGGTTACAGGCACGTTGGCCTGGGGGGTTATGGGCGCACTTACCCGCTACACAAACAAGCCCCTTTATCCCAATGGTCTAGTGGTTGGGATTCTGACATTAAATAGCAGAAAGCCTTCTGTGGTTGACCATTGCTCTTGGCAAAGGTGTTGCAAAGCCGAAGATAGCACTTCGGGATCATCCCGTTGCACAGCATCAGCGTAACCAATGGTAGATAGCTTAGGTTGTTCCTTGACAATGAACCAGAACCTAGGGAGCCACGCGTTAGCATCGGGCTTATAAGCTTCAACCAGTGAAAGACACCCTTGAGAAGGCCGATCAATGTTCGCCTGATGAACACATGAATAATATAGTCTTCTTCGTAAGAGTGTAGCGAATCCAATGCTGGTTAAATTAAAGCCAACTGACGAACATGCTTCACGCGATGTGAGTTCCAGGCAATCGGTAGGCAGCCATGGCGGCGAGCTCGAGGCTGTCATTGTCGATGCTTGTAGGCAGCTCGACGGTCGGCTTATTTTCTAACTTTACGCAAATTGGTACTACACTCGATCAATACACTTCTGTGGTATTCTTTCAAGCTCGTCAATCCTGTTCGGGCACTTTCGATGTGACGTCGAGCATGCGAGCATCATTCATTGCGCCTGGCTTCTGGGGCATGTGACAGATAAGGGCGGGTCCGAAGTGAAGTCGACATCCAATGTCGGTAGATCCTGACGGTTGGAACTCTCGATCCGAGGGTTGACATTTACCGACAACCATCGACATTCATTCGACGCTTAACTTCGGACACGCTCTAAAGTGGGAAATACAGCGTTGGAGTGCGAGAAGTTTGGTGACTAAGAGTACAGCACCACGGAAGGTGGAGGAGTACAGTACTGTCAGTTCGCAGAGCCATACAGTACAGTATTACCCACTCCATTTGGACTGATCCGCGAATTCAGTCCGACGCAAAGTGAACTGTACACACGGTGAAGAAACGGTTTGGTGCTGTGGGCAAACATCGAAATGCCTCTACTGTACTTCCGGCGGAAGGAGGGTTAGAACAGATAGGTGGGATTTTTATGCTATTTAGTGCAGAATTGTCTGACCGGTATTCACCCTTTTTAGCACTAGAGATGGGTGAGTAGTGTCAGTTACATAATGAGAGCATCGCCATCGCTTGGGACAATCCCACAGTGAATGCGCCATAACCGCAGTTGGTTTGGCGCACCACCACAGAGTCGGCGCTTTGGGACCAGGCGACGGCACAGCCATGCGATTTCCCTCCCCCCCTCTCCCCACCCCACTCTATCCCTCCTCTTCTCTCCTCCTCCTCCTCACCTCACACTTCAAGAGTTATCACGAGTGTGAGGCCCTCATTTTGCGAAGGAGAAACCGCATCACAAATACCCCAGCCCAACATTCACAACCTACAGATCTTGCGGCGAGGCCAACAGAACAACACAACCACCATCCACCAACCAATAGCCCAAGTCTATGTGTGGCTGTTGCTAAACGTGCCGCAAGCGTACAACAATAGCAGCGTCGGTTCCAGCTGGCGTCCATCTAACACGTCCTTCCGGATACGTCTCCGCCTTCGTGCAAGGCGTAGCTGACAGAGCAAGCGCTGCCAGTCGTCTTGCCCTGACTCCTGCCACGGGTTATCTCTTCCTCCTCATGTGGGATCACAAGTCTATCCCCTCAATCCATCGCTTCGCAGCTATTGGCATTAGCAAATTGGCCCTCCAGCTGCCTCTCATTCCTGCTGCAGTACTCGGAAACAGGTTGTTTGTTTTCCGGGAAAACAGGTCGCTTTGTTGAATTGCCTCCTTGCAGCCGGCGCGGATACGCCATCAACTTTCACAAACATTCGTTGGGTCGTTTTGACCATCCAGCCGATCCCACTGGCCGTCCGTCTGTCTGTTTCTTCCCGTCGAACTTTTCGACTACGGGCCGTTTCTTTCTCGCGAACCTCGCTAACACTGACCACAATTTTTTAGACGACGGCGAATAAGCTTTGTCAGCAGCTCCGCGCTCCGCCAGATACTACTTAGTGCTGGCAGTAACAGCATTTTTTCCGCTGAAAATTGCAAGTGCGCCGGATGATGGCGCTTCCAGCGGGCGTGCCGCGACCGCCTGGCACATTCGGCGGAAACGCGCGTCAGGCGGGGGACGAAGAGGACTGGCTCGTACCCTACATCGCCTCCACGCGCTACGGCGCGGATTCTAAGATCCAATCGCAGCAGTCCGTCGATCTCGCCGCCAGAGCAGCCGCGGCCGCTGCCGGCGCCGGCGGCACTTCCGCGCAAAGCAAACCATATGGGGCTTCTGCGGCTTGTGCGCCTGGCCCTGTCTCCGCCTCCTCCTCGGTCCGCGTCCCCGCCGCAAGCACCGCTGCCGCAGCAGCGAGTCCGATCCAGAGTTCCTCCCGGGCCGCGAAGGCCGCCGCTACAAGCTACAGCCTAGATGCCGTTGGTTCTTCGCGCGATTCCCGCCGCAAGTCCTGGGCCGCACCGGCCGCGTCTCCTAAGGCTGCGCGACGGCCAGGTGGCGGCGCGGCGGCGGCGGCGGTGGCGATCGCGGCTGCTGCGGCTGTCGTGGTGGTTACGGGGGGAAGAGAAGACGACCGGCCCGCCTCGAATGACGGCGCTACTAGCATCGGCGCAACCGCCGGCGGAGGCGGCGCCTTTGCCGCTTCCCCATTACCGCAGGGAAGAGATACGGGGACCGGTCGCTGTGTTTGGGCAACAGAGGCCGCCGCAGGAGCAAACCCGCCGGGGGACCTCGCGCGCGGCGGCATTTCCGCCGGGAGTTTCCGCGAGCCCTTGGGAGGAGCTGCCGGGCGGAGAGTAATCTCCGTTTTGGAAGGCGGCGGCGCAGAGGCCCAGCAGGCGCGGGAGCAGATGGAGGCGGAGGCGGAATTTTTTATACACGCGACCGAGGCGCGCAAGTCGATATCCGGGAGCGGACGACGCGCTTCGTTGGATTACTCCGATCTGGAAGCGGTTAAGGAGAGGTGAGCTGTAGTATAGTGTTAGCCGGGTTGTCGATGGGGACACGGAGTGAAACAAGCAGAACGAGAAAGATGATCGAGCTGATGATGCTAATACGGATGCGAAAGTGACGGACGGGAGAGACGGGAAAGGAATGGAGGAAAAGGAGTCTACACAAGAAAAAGGGGGAGTAATGTTCCTTGTAAAGTACGTATGGTTGGGCCGGGACAGAGGGCAGGTTCTGTGATTGGGTGTGGAAGGGTAGGGATGGATGTGCGGCTTGCTGTGGGGATTGAGCTGGTGGCATCTCCTTTACTGTCTTGGCGAGTTCCACGCCCTGGATTTGTTTATCCTCTCCTCTCCACTCCTCTCGTCTCCACTCCTCTCCTCCCCATTCTTCTCCTCTCCACTCCTCTCCTCTCCACTCCTCTCCTCTCCACTCCTCTCCTCCCCATTCTTCTCCTCTCCACTCCTCTCCTCTCCACTCCTCTCCTCTCCTCTCCACTCCTCTCCTTCCCATTCTTCTCCTCTCCACTCCTCTCCTCTCCACTCCTCTCCTCCCCATACTTCTCCTCTCCACTCCTCTCCTCTCCACTCCTCTCCTCCCCATTCTTCTCCACTCGTCTCCTCTCCACTCCTCTCCTCTCCATTCCTCTCCTCTCCACTCCTCTCCTCTCCACTCCGCTCCCTCGATTCCTCTCCTCTCCACTCCACTCCTCTCCCCTCCATTCCTCTCCTCTCCACTCCACTCCTCTCCACTCCTCTCCACTCCTCTCCTCTCCTCTCCTCTTCGCTCCTCCTTAGCTTCTCCCACCTCTCACCTCCTGCAACTCTCTCCTCCTCGCTCCTCTCCTGTCTCCTCTCACCTCTTCTCGTCTCTTCGTCTCCCCTCTCCTCTTCTTCCATCTCCTCTCAAATGACCCTTCATATGGCAAAAAATAATAATGGGATTACAGAACTAGATTACATCGCAGTACTGAGCACGGCTGCTAGTTCGTGACTTCCTCTGCTGGGCCGCTAGAGTGTGGACCAGGTCACCTGTGAAATGGCTATGCCTAGCGGCGCAGGGAACCAGTCCACTGCCCCGGGGGCCACCGTAAAGGCGCCGTGGGTCTTGGCAATGAGAGAGTTCGCCTGGGCTCGCCTCTGCCTCTTATCTCCTCTCTGCTCCTCTATGTGCATGATGCACGTCCTTTGTTTCCCTCCCTGCTCGTTTCCTTTCCCCGCCTCTCCTCTACCCTCTTCTCACCTCCTCTCATCCTCTCCTCCCTGATCCTCAGTCCTCCCCTCTCCTCTCCCATTCCTTCCTCTCCTCGTCTCTCCTCCCCGCCCCTCTCCTTTTCTCTCCTCTCCTCCTATCCTCTCCTCTCCTCTCCTCCCCTCTCAACTCCTTTCCTACCTTATCCTATCATCTACTCTTCTATCCTCTCCTCTCCTTTCTCTTGTCTCCTCTCCTTTCCTCTCCTCTCCTCTCCTCTCCTCTCCTCTCCTCTTCTATCCTCATCTCATCTCCTCTCCTCTTTTTTCCTCTCCTCTCATCTCTTCTCTCTCTCCTCTCACCTCCTCTCCTCTCCATTTCTTGCCCTTTTTCTCCTCTCTGTTCCTTTCCTCTCCTCTCCTCTTCACTTCTGTTTCTCTCCCTTTCCTCCTATTCCTCTCCTCTCCTCTCAGCCTTCCTCCTCTTGTCTCCTCTACTATCCCTTACTATAACTCACCTCCTCTTCTCCTCTCCTCCCTTCCCATCCACTCTCCTGGCGTTTCCTGGTCGCAGGGTTCAACAAGCTGCATCCCTCTGGGCATTAGCAGAGGACAAGGAACGAGAAGATGCAGCCGCTGCAGCGCTGCTTTTGCAGCAGCAGCTTCTGAAGCGGCAACAAGAGCAGCAACAGCAGCAGCAACATCTGCACCAGGAGGAGCTACAGCAACAGCAGCAGCAGAAGAAACAGGAAAAGCCATCATCGCATTTTCGTAAAAAGTCTGTCGACGTGTCAGCCATGGTTGCAGCGGCAGCAGCAGCAGCATCATCAAATATCTCTCGAGATAAGTCAAGAAGCCACAGTAACAGCAGCGGTTGTGCCAGTAACGGTAACGGCACCGCTGGCACTGCTGCTGGTGGTGGTGGCAGTGGCAACAGCAGCGGCAAGGTCTCACTATTCCGCAAGTGGCTTTCATTCACCCGCTAAGCGAAATGATTGTAAAAGGACCGCTTGGCTCTGGTTCTCAGCATCTGGTTATTATTCCACTGATTATAATGCGATCAGCACACCATACTTTGAGTTGGAGAAGCTGCCTTGGGAGAGTGTGGTAGGGCAACAGAGACATGGCGGAGACAAGGTCTGGGTAAATAGCATCCTGATTAGGGCCATGGTTAGAGGCTGGGAGCTAGGTGCAATGAAGCAATGAAGCTCCGTTTCAATTAAGCCTGCTCCCTTTTTTCAGGGATTAGGTTACTTTCACCCTTGCCTGCGCTCTGCCCAGTGTCCCACCCTGTTGCTCAGGGTGTACCTCCCAGAAATCTGGCTGGGCATCCACTCCTTGCTTTGATATTAACAATCCACCTGAAACCGTTCCTCAAAACAGGAACTCCATGCCTTGCATATGCTTACGCAAATCAAGGATTAATGTGAATTTTGAGTAAAGGTTCTTGTTTCCTGTTTTAGATCAATACTCCATGGTGTGTAGGTTTTAGTGTGTTTTATGCGGCTGGAAATTCTATGGTTTGGACTGGGTGACATGCCTAGGAGGGTACATACAGTTCCATTACCATACATTCCCTCCCCCCAGTGTTGACAGATGAAACGGGTACGAACATCTCGCGTACATACCTATCGCCCTTCTTCGCATCGTGGCTTCCAACGGTTCTGCTCCGCTCCTCTTCGCTTGCACGCTTCATCTCCTTGGTTCTTGCTTGGCCCTTGGATTCCTTGGCGTACAGTATTTAGATGACGTGTCGCCTGTTCAATTCTCGCGGGAATCGTGGGATTGGTGGGTTGGGTGAGCATGGTGAATCGTGATGTTTCGCAAGGCCCAGAACGTGTGAATCGTGATGTACTGCTTTGCTGGACATCGCTGGCGCCAGGAATCCAGTGCGTATGCGAACCAAATTTCGCTGCACCACGTTACGGTTACCTTCCGTGTCGGTTCCATCCAGAACCTGTTCTTTCAGGCTGTTGACAAGGCGGATGATTCTGAGTTGCAGAAACCGGTGCGTGCATTCTAAGGCGAGTTCGGCAGCCACAGGGATCGACGGGGGGGCATGGGACGGAGGATGAAAACGTCGGCACTCCTGGTTCGACCTTGACGAACCAGGCAAAACACTACGGTCAGTAGATGAAAAGACGAAAAACATGCCGGACGTGGGCCAAAAACGCGACGCGAGCCCCAATCTAGACCTGTGACCGCGCCGCATCCTCCCCATGAACCACCCCCCTTGGCGGAAACTTTCCGCCCCAGTGTCGAGTGATGGAAAGTGGATTCCCGTGAGGTGGACAACCCCACGGGGAATCAGAATTCCATGCCCCAGACGATGGGTATGCTTTTTAAAACACACATGCACTTTCACCCAGATAGAGTTCGTAGCCTTTTCCTTGTACCTTAACGGATGATTATCGAAAAATACATGAAATGAAATTCGTGTGGGATTTACTTGTTCAAGTGTTGACCTTTAGCAATTGTAAATAAAACACGAACTAGGAAAGAGTAACTTATGAACAGAAATATCCAGGGTATTTTTCATCGCAATTTAGGGTTAGGCTTAAAAAACAAACCCTCACGGGAACTGTTCACATCGTGAAGGCTCGCGTTTGCAAGGCGTCTGCTTCCGTTGCCCTACCCCTACCACCCTGGACCTCCGCAATTACCGCCGAGTCCTTCCGCTTGCGCAAGGACCTCGAACTTGGCGTCAACTGTGGTTGACCCCAAGTTGACCTGTCACAACTAGGGGCGAGGCTGTCGATTTTCGATGCCTCGACTCTCCCTCGCTGGATCCCTTGGGCTGCCGAACACCGCCTCAATGTCAAGTGGTTCGCTTTGAGTTGCAGTAACGAGTTGTACTCCTGGTCAATTGTCGTGGTCTGCTGAAAGCGACAGCGATAGCGATTGTCACCGCCAGCTGCTTTTCCGTCCTCTTTAGGCAGATTCTACTCCAGAGCCTCTGGCGCTTTAGGGCGCGTGTTTGTTTCTGTAGACGTTCGGAAAAGGCTCATTTTTTTTTGTATCCTATTTCGCAAATTCTGTCGATACCTTTTCAGGGAAATCGTGTGTGTTAGTTCAGACTGTGCGAAAGAATTTGGACACGAACTAAAGTCGACATCGCATTCGGAATTTTACGTTTATGTTAATCCAATCGTGTGTTCTTTTGCGCACGCACGAATTTCACGACATAAACGAGGTACAACCTATAGTGTTACCAATGCCTAACACGGCCACGAACAGCACAGCGAAATGAGTAACTTACGAAAATTTAGCGCGACTCGGAATTTACCGTTTAAAGTTGAACTTTGATTGTCGAACTTTGTTGTTCCATGCGCGACTCAGGCTTGTTTGACGGTGCTCCTCGACCACCAAAAGTCGAGATAGTCGAGCACAGGTCGACAAAGGTTCAGATGTGAAGTTTCACAAAAAACAAATGAACTTTTTTCCAAATTTGCAAAAGACACACGCCATCAGCATGTAGGAGCCTTTTTAGTTGTCAACAAGAGCTGGCGCTGGGCAGCGAGGGTGGTGCATAGGTTTTGAGAGCACCACATATTGATCGATTACGCAATGTCAGCCCCTTAATGCTCACGAATAGCTGTTACAATAATCAACCAAAGTAGGCATTGATAATGGCATCATATTGCATGGCCGATTGCGCGTCTGATTCTTTTGCGTTCTAAAACCTATTTTTATTCACTCCAAACATGGCCGAGTGTCTCCAACTATTTATTCGCAACCGGCCTTCTCGTCAAGCTCCGCCGCGTGCTGCTATTCCCTTCACAACCACCGGCGAAATTACCCTCGTACTCTCCGTCGGACCTCGACCGCCGCTAAAACAACTCCAAGGAACCTCTCGACCCTAACCTTCCAAACTATCTGCTGCTCGATCTCGTCCTCCTGCTCGTGCTCCTGCTCGTGCCGCTCGTGCCGTTCGTGCACGTGCCACGATGCGGTTGGTCAGAGGAACAGCAACCGGCGCACCCGCATCCCCTCCGCCAGCAGACCGTTCTCCCACCGCCCCAAAATCGCCCGGCGGGGGTAATTCACCCCTGCGCTGGCTGCGCTCCTCCGGCCGCTCCCGTTCCTCGTCGGAACTCCCGGCTATTGTGACCGAGGGACATGGATTATCGGACGGAGAAGGCGGAGGGGGAGGGGGTGGCGGAGGGGGAGGCCGCAGCAGAGGCCGACGGGACGGCGGAGGAGGCGGAGGAGGCGGAGCTGCAGCAGCAGCAGGTGGCGGCCGGGGGGCGAGTGCTCAGGGGACGCGGAAACAGGGTGCGATTCTTGAGAATTCTCAGAAATCGCTCTCGAAGACACAGGGCGCGTGCTTCGCACCCTCCATTCCCGTTTCGCGCAGTGCCAGTAACGATCCCGACGACATCGCCTCGTTTCTTCTCGAAACCTCTACCGTCTCCTCCAGTTCGTCCCCTTCCGCGGCTGGCGGCGGATCAGCCGCGGGGGAAGGCGGCGGCTCTTCCGGGGTGCTACTTTCCCCCGCCTCCGCTGGTGGCGGCGGCGGCGGCGGTGGCGGCGACGCAGGTGGGATGGAGAAGGAATTTAGCGAGTGCGCAATTGGCGCAGCGTCTCCAGCTCCTGCTCCTTCTCCTGCTGCTGCTGCCGCGCCCGTTAGGCGGAAGCGCGACGTGCTAATGGCGCGCTTGGCGGGGTTCCGCGGCGGCAAGAGCTGGGCGTCTGTGGATGACCCTTCGTTAGGAGTCGCCGCCGCCGCCGCTGCCGCTGTCACTGCTGGTGCCGGTGGTGGTGCAACGGGGGGTATCTCTGGTCGGGAGCGTGTGTTATCGGAGAGGGTAGGAGGGGGGTCCAAGGGTAGTTTAACCTTGGAGCATGAAACGGCTGACGAGCAGTCAGGGCGTGGCGCAATAGTAGCGGGCTCGCAATCGTTTTCGGAGCATCCGCTGCTGCTGCAGCAGCAGCAGGCGGAAGCAGACGGGGAGGCGCAGGCGCATGCGCGAAGCATATTCCGCAAGCCCCCCCCGTCAATGGCTGCGCGGATGCTGGCGGCGGAGCGCGGCGCAGGCCACGCGCGCGCAGCGAGCGCGGACCTCACGGCGCACTACGTTGCAGCTTCCGCTGGGGGTGGGGGTGGGGGGGGGGGTTGCGGGCGGAGGTGCTGCTGCTGCGAGCGCGGGAGGTCTGTCTTGGGGAGCGGGGGCGGCGGACGAAGGGGGGCGCAGCGGGCGCATCTCCCGCGTTTTCAGGCGGTTAGGGCTGGGGAGCGGACGCTCGTCCCCGGTGGGCGTGAGTGGGCTTGGGGGGGCGAGCAGCGGGAGGGTGGACATGGGGGTCGCGGGGGGAGCGGGAGGCGGGTTCGAAAAGAGTTTCTATGATACGCCGTTGCCTCTATCAGAGGATAGGAAACGGCTGAATAGGCCGTCTGCTGCTGCTGCTGCTGCTGCTGCTGCTGCTGCTGCTGCTGCTGCTGCTGAAAGTGGGACGGTGGAATCGAAGAGGAGAGAGGAAGCAGATGCGAGGAGGGAAGAAAAGGAGTACGGGGGAGAGGAAGTGGAGGAGTGGGAGGAAGAGTTAGTGGAGGAGAGGGAGGAGGAGGCGAGGAGGAAAGGAGTGAGCACGGACGAGATGCATCAGGGGTTGCTGTTGAGAGGCTTGCGTGGTGGTGGTGACGGCGGTGCTAGTAGTTCTTCTGCCTTCCATGGCAGCCGTTTTCCCGTGTCGTCCCCTCCTCACAACGCACCTGCTTCTGCTACGCCCTCTTTCGCGAGAGGAGCAGCGCAAGGGGCCACTCCCGCCGGCGCAGCAGCAGCAGCAGCAGCAGCAGATGCAGACACAGCAGAAGGCGCATCAGCAGGGGCAGAGGCGGGGGCGTGGGCGGTAGGGCAGGAGATCGAAGTAGACGTGGTGGGGGAGGATGGGCGCAGCAGCACCATCCCTGCGCGCCTGGTGGAAGCCACAGTGGTGCAGAGCGGTGCAGGGGGGCGGCGAGTGATGGGAAAGATTGTGCTGGCAACAGGGGAGGTGATGATGGTGGCGGTGGAAGAGGAGGAGGGGGAGCGCGGAGGCGCGCCCATGGCGCAGCCTGTGGGGAAGGGGGACAGGGGGGACGGGGGGGACGGGGGAGAAGGGGGGGACGGGGGGGATGGGGGAGAGATGGTGGCTTGGGGAGGATCGGGAACGGGGGTAGGGAGAGCGGTTGCAGCTGGCGTGTGTGCAGAGGAGTTGGGGGCGGTAAGAGTGGGTGGTGGGAGTGAGAGCTTGGGCGATAGACTTGGTGGGCGGAGGGAGGAGAAGACAGGGGGGAGGGATAAGGAGAGGGAGAGGAAGAAGGAGAAGGAGAAGGATAAAGGAAAGGGGAAGGAGGCTGGGAGTGTGAAGGAGAAGGATCGAGCGTTGAGGGAGGTTCTGGAGATGTCTAAGGGGATTGGACGGTCCAGATCGAGCATGGCAGAGCTGATCAAACGGGTGAGCAAGGACGGAGGGTGTAGCAGTTCGGATGAGAAGGAGGGGGAAGTAGCCGGGGGGTCGCAGGGAGGGGGGAGAAAAGAAGGGCCGAGAAAGGAAGAGGGGCGAAAGGAAGTGGGAAAGAAGGAAGGGGGCGTGGGCATGGGCGTAGGCATGGGCATGGGGAAGGGGAAGGATGCATTGAGAAAGGAACGAAGCAGTAAACTGGGGCGATCACAGTCGAATGTTGGTGAGCAACGTAGGGGTGGTGCGATGGAAGGGGAGGGGGTGGGGAGGTCGCGAGAAGGTGCAGGGGAGAAGCGGCGGGGATCAAGGCTACGAGGGACGTCACAGGGTGGTATGTCCTGGGGTGGTGCTGCTGATGGCGCTGCTGTTGGTGGGAGTGGTGTGGCTGGGGTGGGTGGTGTGGGTGGTGTTGGTGGTGGTGTTGGCAGTGGTGGTGGCGCTGCTGTAGGTGGTGCGGGGGTGGGAAGCGAGGAGGAGTCGGTTGTTGGGAAGAGTGTGACTCTGCCGCTGGAGAGGGAGAGGGAGAGGGAGAGGGAGAGAGAAAGGGAGAGGGAGAGCGAGAGGAGGGCAGATGGGGGGGAGAGCGGTGGGGAGAAATCGGGTAGGAATGCCGCAGGCCTGAATTTGGAAAGGACGGGATCTGATAAGAAAGAGAGGAGAGGAGGTGCTGAGGAGAGGGAGAAAGGGAGGAAGGGTGAGAAGGCACGGGAGAAGCTGGGCAGGTCTCAGTCTGTGGAGGTAGGGGCGGCTCAAACAGGCAAGCCTGGTAAGGGGAAGTTGCATGGGCAAGAGGTGAAGGAGAAAAGGAGGGAGCCAAGAAAATCGAGAGATGAAAAGGGGAGTGGGGTGGAGAGAGCAGAGAAGGGTGGAGAGGAGACAGGGGAAGGGGGAGGTGAGAGGGAAGAGGAGAAAGAGAGGCGAGTGCGCGAGAGAAAGGAGCGGGCGAAACGGGACAAGGAGAAGGAAGGGGGAGAGGAGAGGAGGAAGGGGGTAGGGGAGCGAGGCAGTGGAGGTGGGAAGGGAGGGGAGGAGGGCGCGGATGGTGGGCATGGGGAGAAGAAGAAGAGAGAGCGGAGAAGCAGGAGCATCATGCTGGTACGGGATGGATCGTGCACTGATTCGGATGGTGGGAGTGGTAAGGAGCGGCGTCGCTCTAGCTTAAAAGAGAAGGGGAAGGCAGCAGCAGCACCAGCAACATTGGCGAAATCTTCATCAGCAGCAGCATCAGAGGGGGGTATAGAGGGAGATGCATTTGGGAAGGTAAAGTCGAAGCGCAAGGAGGGATTGCGCAGTGCAAGTGGCAAGAGCCGGGAGAAGAAGGGGGGAAGCGACGGGGGAGGGAGAAGCACAGGGAGCGGTAAGCAACGGGAGAAGAGAAAAGCATCAGCATCAGCACCATCAGCACGCGAAGGAGAGGCGGCAGCGAGAGGAGGAGGTTCCAGTGCAGCTGCAGCTGCCGCTACAGCAGCAACAGCAGCAAGCGAAGTGGCAGAGGACAGCAGCAGCGTGCCAAGCCCTGCGGAGTTCATGGCTCAGATGGGCGTGCCTGAGGACATACAGATGGTGGCTGTGGAACCACTCCTCCTCACCTCCTCCCACGACCCTGCAGGGGACGAGCTTAGCATGGGCACAGGCATGGGAGTGGGCATGGGCATGGGCATGGGCATGGACATGGGCATGAGCATGAGCATGGGCATGGATGGGTGGTCGCCGCACAGCAGCAGCGAGGGGACAGAGGGTAGCCGGCACGGGTCGGAGCAGGGGGGGATTGCGCTGGGCGCAGGCGGGCTCGGAGGGGCAGGGGTATGGGGGGGGGGGAGGGGGAGGGGCAGGAGCAGGAGAGGGGGAGAATCCAGAGGCCGTGGCAGCAAGCATGCGGAGGGCGTGGGTGAGAGGCGGAGGGGGGGGATCTCGGCTGAGTATCCAGCAGCGGGAGCGGCGGCGCGCTCACAGCCGCTCCCAAAAGGACGCAGCTTGGTCCTTCCCTGCCATGCCAGACCTTGAAGCTGCTGCTGCGCGCCTGGTGAGTGGGCCTCAGGAAGGGGAGGGGGAGGAGGAGGAAGAGGCGTTGCCTCCCCTGCCGGAGGGGGAGGTGGAATTGGCAGCGGCGGCTGCGGCTGTGCGTGCTGCTGCTGGGTTGGGAGATGGTGAGGAGAGTGAGAGTGAGAGTGAGGGGGAGGAGGAGGAAGGGAGGAGGGTTGGGGATGGGATGATCAGCCCCTTGGTGAGTCCTATCCGGAGCTCTGCTGATCTTTCCGCTGGTGGGAGAGGTGGTGAAGGCGAAGAGGAGGAAGAGGAGGAGGAGGAGGAGGAGGAGGAGGAGGAGGAGGAGGAAGAAGAAGAGGAGGCTGCTACACCTCCGTCCCTTGGCCGTACAGATGCCAGTGGCGGTCTTATGACCCCTACCACCACCACCATCGCCACCACTGCTCCCACCGTTCTACTCCCTGCAAGTTCACCAGCAGGCAAATCAGCAGGCAGATCAGCAGCAGCAGCAGCAGCAGCAGCAGCAGTGGCAGCAGGAATGGGAGTGCCTCCTCTCTACTCCCCCGTGCTGAGACCGTCCGCGGCAGCAGCATCAGCGTCCGTCATTGCTGCTGCTGCTGCAGCCGCTGCAGACGCCCGCTCACGCACGCCTCTCCGCGTGGCCATAGCGTCCCGCCAGGGCGCTGCTGCTGGCCGCTCAACAGCAGCAGCTGCTGCTGCCGCCGCTGCTGCTGGTGCGGGTGCCGGGGCTGCTGGTGGTGCTGGGGGTGTGAAGCAGGGGGGGATGCTGTGGCAGCGCAGGAGCACGAGTTTTGGGGCTATGGAGCTAGAATCTCTAATGACTGGAAGAGGGAAGGATCCGTGGGGTATGGGTTATGCGGGCCCTCTCAGTTCTGGCGCCAAGGCTGTTGCAAGCGCTGTTGCTGCTGGTGCTGGCGCTGGCGCTGGTGCTGGTGGTGTTTTTGCAGTAAGGCCGCGTTCGCCGCTGCAGCAGCGCAAGAGAGTGATGACAGAGTATGATGTGCTTCCTGGGGGCGGACCTGTGCGATTGGCAGCAGCGGGGCCAGCAACAGGAGCAGCAGTGGGATCGGCAGCATTGGTGACCACACTAGGAGCGGAGAAAGAAGGTAGAGGAGGAGGTGGAGGAGGAGGAGGAGGAAGAGAAGGGGAAAGAGCGGGAGGAAGTAGGGACGGAGTGGGGATGGAGAGACCAGTTGTGGGGAGAGCTGCTGTGCCAGAAGACGGTAGTTCCCTGCTTGCTTCTGCTGCTGCTGCAGCTGCTGCTGCCTTCGCTGCTTCTGCTGCTGGTGTTGGCGGTCTGAGAGGGCCCAGCCCTGCTCGCATGCGGCCACCTGTCCCGCCCAGCACTGCTGCTGCTGCTGCTGCTGCTACTGCTGCTGCTTCCCCTGCTGCTTCTTCTCCTGCTGGTGAGGCTTCTGCTGCTGCTGCTGCTGCTCGTGGTGGGGCTGGTGCAGGGGCTGATGAGAGGGCAGCAGGGAGTAGTGTGCTGGGGCGTGTTGCATCGTTAAGTGAGGCATGGCCTGTGAGAGGGGCAGTGAAGGCGGTGGAAAGGGAGCAGGAAGGGGCAGGAGAGGAGGAGCGAGGTGCTGTCTGGCAAGGGAATGACGGGGATGCTTCTGCCACTGCTGCTTCTACTGCTGCTGCTGCTGCTCCTTCTGTTGCTGCTGCTGCTGCTGCTGCTGCTGCTGCTGCTGCTGCTGCTGCTGCTGCTGCTGCTGCTGCTGCTGCTGCCGCTGCTGCTGATGTGCATCTGTTGTTGCAGCAGGAGCAGGAGCAGGAGCAGGAGCAGGAGCAGGAGCAGGAGCAGGAGCAGGAGCAGGAGCAGGAGTGGGAGCGGGAGCGGGAGCGGGAGCGGGAGCAGGAGAAGCAGCAAGGTAAGCAGCAGCAGCAGTTTGTCTCGGAGCAGGCAAGTGTGCAGCAGCGGGCGCAGCAGTCGCCACTGGCAAGGATAATGTCTGAAGATGATGGCGTGCCACGCAGCGACTCCGTGGTCATACATGAGTTCAGCTGTGATGACATGGACTCGGAAGGGGGAGTGGTGGCGGGTGAGGAGGGCAAGGAGGTCGAGGAGGGCGAGGAGGGCGAGGAGTGGGAGGAGGAGGGAGAGGAGGAGAGAGAGGAGAGAGCGGAGGACGGGAGAAGGAAGGAGTGGGAGGATGTGGAGGAGGAGGTGGTGAGTGAGGAGGGTGGATTGGATGTGAGGGGAGGAAGAGCGGTCAAGGTGGTGCGATGGAGCGAGGTGAAGGAGGAGGGCAGGGAGGGGAGGGAGGGCAATGCACGCTTGGAAACTTCAGAGGAGGATGAGTTAGAAGCAGATGGGGAGGAGGAGACTGATTCTGATGGGGCAGAGGATGAGACGGAAGAGGAAGAGGATGAGGAGGAAGAGGATGAAGTTGTTGATGAGATGATGTTTGTGCGATCGCTCTCGACGATCCGACGGCCGGAAATTGTTCGTCGGCTCAGCAGCGTACGCACAATGGGAGCAGCAGCAGCAGCAGCAGCAACGAGCCGCGAGTTTGGGATCATAGGCATGGCACGCTCAGCCGCACAATCGTGCCAGGAGCACTGGTCCCGCCTCTTCCTCCGGTACTTAGAGCTTTCCCTCCAGCTGCCCTCACATGCTGCTGTCGGTGGGGTGAACACCAGTAGTGCTCGGGAGCCTGCGCCCCAGCCGCGGTCGCTGTCGGGGCTGTTTGCTTCGGACGAGGGCGAGTGGCTCGGGAGTGCCGTGCCTGTGGTTCGGAGCGTGCAGAGCAACCCCAACTGGACGGCAGCTTCGGCTTTAAGAGAATACGAGTGGGTGAAGAGAAAGTTCCAAGGGGCGTGTGGCAGCTGCGAGCAATTCTCGGAGACTCAGGTGAGGAAGCTGTTTGCCTTTGGGCTAGCTGTGTGGATCAAGTACTGGGAGCAGTGGGGGGAAGAGAAGCCAGACTGGGCATATGAGCTGGACGAGTGGTACGGTGGGGAGGAGGGCGAGGAGGAAGGTGAGGGAGAGGAGCAGGAGGAAGGGGAGGAGGAGATGGGGGGCAACAGGCGGCAGCAGCTGCAGCAGCAGCAGGGGGCAGAAGGGAATCGGCGCCCGTCCTTCTTCTCCTCCTCCTTGGCCCAATCCCTGCGCCGCCACGGCACCTTAGGCCGCAGCTCAGCCGCCCTCGCTACTGCTCCCATGCCCTCTCCTGTAGAAGCCCGGTGGGGCTCCCAAGGCTCGCTGCAGTACAGACTCGCCAAGGAAGCTCTAGCAGGGGCAGGGGCAGCAGGGGGATCAAGGGGGGGAGGAGGAGGAGGAGGGGGGTACTTGCAGGGGATGGTATGCAGGCAAGACGAGGTGGTGTTGCTGGTGGGTCTTGCTGCGTCCATCTGCTCTTGGCAGCCTGCCACAGCGTGCATGTGCCTGCTTCACCTCCTCGACCGCCTCGCGTTTCTTGAATCCGCCGCTCGTGCTGCCGAGGCTGCTGCTGCGGCCGCAGCTGCTGCCGGCCTGGGAAATGTGACAGCTGCTGCTGCTGCGGCGGCTGCTACTGCTGCTCCTGCAGTCCCAGCTGGTGGTGGTGCTGCTGCTGCTGCTGGTCAGCAGGCCCTGCTGCTCTCGCCCCCTCGCTCGTCGTCTCGATTGGGGAGGAGCGCAGATAGCCAGCCCACGTCTCCCACATTCAGCCAGGCGCCAAGGGACGGTGCTTCTGCTTCTGCTTCTGCTGCTTCTGCTGCTTCTGCTGCTGCTGCTGCTGCTGCTGCTGCTGCTGTTGCTGCTGCTGCTGACAGTGGGAAACAACACCGCCACCACCACCACCAGCACCACCACGAGCAGCAGCAGCACGAGCAGGGTACGAGTCACAAGCGCCGCTTCTCTCTTGCGATAGGCTCCGCTCTCCTCGGCTCGGCCTTCTCAAGCTTCCAACACTCGGGCTCTGCTGCTCCTGCTGCCGCTGCTGCCACCGCTGGTTCTGGTTCCGTTTCGTTGAATACTGCCAGTTCTGCTGCCGCTTCAGCAGCAGCCGCTGCTGCAGCTGCTGTTGCGAGAGTGAGCACTGGCCACATCCCCAAAACCAGCAGCAGCACCAGCACTGCCAGCGCCTGTGGCAGCGTTGCTAGCAGCACCAGCGGCTCCGTTCCCCCTTCCCCCAGCAGCTCTTTCCAACAAGACATTTCTCTAGACTCCCCCCACCACTATGTGACAGGCATGCCTGCTCTCTTTGACCTCCTCCCGTCCGCTCATCTCGCCTCCTGCCGTGCACTGGTCATGAGCTGCCTTCGGTCCGTGCTTACTGCTTGCTTTGACCGCGCTGCTGCTAGTGGCGCTCTGGGAGGAGGGGGGGAGGATGGTGGGGGAGCGGGAGCGGGAATGGGACGGTCGAGCTCGAGGCATGAGCTGGTGATGCAGGCGCTGTTGAAGCAGCAGCAGGAGCAGCAGCAGGAGGAGGAGATGCAGAGGAAGCAGCGTGCAGAGCAGGGGCAGGGGCAGGGGCAGGGGCAGGGGCAGGGGCAGGGGCAGGGGCAGGGGCAGGGGCAGGGGCAGGGTCAGGCGGGGGCACCAGAAGAAGGGCAGGGAGAGCAGTCCAATCCCAAAGATCAGGAGAAGAACCAGCAATCAAGACCACAACCACAATCACAGCCCCAGTCACAGCCCCAGCCACCGCAGCAGCAGCCTCTATCACCACCACCACCAGCAGCAGCAGCAGCAGCATGGGCACCACTCCCTCTCTCAGCCCTTGCCGAGATCGCACTAGCAGAAGGCATAGCGCAGGCGAGGCACAGCAGCCTGGCGGAGCGATGCGAGGAGGTAGACAGACTCTACTACTCCTTCGGCTTCGGCCCCGGTCTCCTAGCTATGAACCTCGCTGTGGAAGCCCGGTCTCTCAGGAACCTCTCTGCAGACGATCTACTGGCAATTGCACGGCACTGCGTCCGAATGGGTTTACACGAGGCTGCTTTTAGGTTCGGCATGGCCGCCGTAGCTACGGGCAGGCTCGGCGTGGACGGGTTCGGGCAGGTGATCTCGATGGTGTTTCTCGGGCGAGGGGTGGAGTCGGTTTCAGCGCGGTTCGCGCGGCTTGCCACTGCGATCAAGAATGCACCAGGATCAGCTATGGCTGCCGCGCCTACAGCTACAGCAGCTGCAGTGGCAGCTTCTGTAGCATCCGCGCTTGGCCCTGCGGCGATGGCAACTGCAGGGCTGCATCTGCCGCCGCTGCCGCAGCCGACACCAGCTCCTGTGTACATCGGGCAGTTTGCAGATGCGATGCTGAGAAGCAAGCAGCTGAAGCAGCGATTCCCGTGGGCGTATGAGGTCACTCTGAACTTCCTCAGGATGAATCTGAGGGGTAGTAGTCCTGGGGGTGGGCTCAGTAGTGGTGCTGCTGGGTCGTTCAACCTTTCTGGTGCGTCTGCTTCTGCTTCTGCGTCTGCTTCTGCTGGTGATAGTGGTGGTGGTGCTGGGAATGGTGTGATTGGCCTGGCAGGAGGATCAGGATCGTCATCATTTGCATTAGCAGGTGCAGGAGCAGCAGCAGCAGCAGCAGCAGTAGCAAGAGCAATGTCAGACCGTACATTTGCTGCTACTGCCACCACCTCGGCTGCGGCTGCTTCGCTATCCCCTTCATCCTCTTCTCTCAACCCCACGTCCCCCGCGCCCACGAGCGGCCTGGCAGCATTAGAAGCGCTAGAGCGCGAGCTAGCAGCGCACGTGGTGCTAAACCGGTGGCTAGGAATAGGCCTCCCAGGAAGTGGCGTGCGCACAGTGGGGCAGGCAGAGGAGAGGGCAGTGGAGGTAGTAGAGCAGATTGCAGACCCGGAGCAGCAGGTGGGGTGGGCCGTGTGGCTGCGCGTGGGACGGCTGCTGGAGAGCGAGCAGCCGCAGCTGCCCATGCTGCTGGAGACAATGCAAGTCAAGTCCGTCATGCATACATACGAGGTGAGCGTGTAAGACTGGGTGTGTGGGTGGGTGCTGGTCCTGAGGGCGGAGTGAGCAGCCGCAGTACCCCATGCCGCTGGAAACAATGCAAGTCAAGTCAGTGATGCATACGTATGAGGTGAGCCTGTGACTCTGTGACACTGGGTGTGGGAGCGGGTTGTGCGGCGTCTCAGCATCGCGTTTCTAGATGTCTTGGTGCATGCACGCGTGCGAGGCGAGTGGTGTGTGTGAGTGTGAGATATGTATGCCTGCTGCCTCCCGCTCAGGGGAGGCTCCCACCCCACACAGCTCAGCTCATAGTCATCAAGGGGAAGGCAGCAGGCTTCCCCTTTTCTGAAGCCTGCAACTGTGGCCTTTTTGAGTCGGATCAATAAATGCTTCTTTCCGCTCTCTCCCTCCACTTCCTCCCTCCCCACCGCAGCTCATAGATGTCAACGGGGAGGCAGCAGATTTCCTCTCTCTAGAAGCCTTTGACTGGGGCTTACAGGGGCTGCTAGCCTGCCTAGACCCCTCTGACGGGGCGGCGGAGCTCATAGATTTGATTTACCCGCTGGACGAGGAGCGCGTGCTGCTGTGCCTCACCATTGCCGCCCGCATGGCTGCCACCCACACCGTGGGGAGCGGGCGGCGATGGCCGACCCGGGATCTGCCAAAGTTTGTCGCCCAGTTACTGTCCCTGGCTGAGACGTGTGAGTGGGGATGGTGGGGATGGTGGGGATGGTGGGGATGGTGGTCCAAAAAAAGTGTCGTGCCAAAAGTTGTGAGTCGACTTGAAGTGTGTCGCCCAGTTGCTGTCTCTAGCTGACTGAGACGTGTGACTGGGTATTCCGGGCCAAAACCTTTCGCATAGAAAGGGTGTTTTCGAAGGAGTCAAAAACCTTTTCAGTCGATGCGACAGTCATTATGAGTGGAATGCAATGTGTGGCTGAGAAGCGGGACATGTGCGTGGGGTTGATGGTTTTGCAGCACAAGAGTGTGCAAGTGTGTCTGGGTGTCACTTCGCTGCATGAATCGCTGCTCCACTCTTCATGGTTCCCGGCTCATGCTCCCTCCTCCCACACCCACGCCTCCCCCGTCTTCCCCCCACCCATCTCCCCACCCTCCTTCTGGTATCAGGGATTCAGGGTGTATGGAGAGACACTTTTTGAGAAGTCTCAAAAGTCACCTCCCCTGTCTCTCCCCCCCCCCATGTATGCACCTTCCGCCTGGTATCAGGGCGAATGGAGGGCCAGCAGATGTCGCGAGCAGTGAGCGTGGTCACTCTGCTGTGGGGATGGGCGCTCCCAAAGAGAGAACAACTCATGGACCAATGCGGGGTGAGAGAGAGGGAGGGAGGATGGGAGGGGGAAAAGTTTGCTTTGAGATGCGTCAAAACAAATTCTCTCTTTTGTGGGTGTGGGGCTGGGCTCTCCCAAAGAAAGAACAACTCATGGACTAGGGTGGGGTGAGAATGAGGGAGGGAGGATGGGAGGGGTGGGGTTAAGAAAAGGGAGGGAAAGGGGAGAGGGGGAGAAGGAAAGGGAGGGAGTATGCACCTTGAGTTTACTCCCAATCGAATCGAAGCACACATATGGCTTCCCTTTTCTCCTGCTCGCTCCCTCTTTGCTCACTCACTCTAGTTCTTTCTCTCTCTTGCCCTCCCTTGGTCGGTGGTTTTCGTTTCCGCAGTCTGCTGATGAAGCAAGGGAAGTCCTGGAGCGCACTGCGTCCTCGATATGGAGGTCCCTTGCACAAGGTAATTCAACAGCAGGTTCCTTCGCTTTGTTTTTCTGCTTACGGTAATGGTTCAGATGGATCTCTGTAAACGCCTATTAGGCTACTCCAGATAGGTTTCTTGTCTTGTTCGATTCCCAGCCTCGGTCACACATCACATCACATACCCTGTTTTCCCTTTCTTTTGTTGTTTCCTCCCCTGCATTCGCAGGAACCCAGAAGTAGTGAAGCACCTGTTACTAGAGGCAGCGTAGTTTATTTCTGAGCGTTTTACTGCTGGTTTTTATTATTTCCAGCAAAAAAAATTGTACCCAGGCTGACTTGCGGTATCGGCCCTTATTATTCTGAAATGGCTTATCACGTAGAATCGTCAGTGTGATTTATCAGCTTATGCAGGTCTTTCTGATTACTAGAGTTAATAAAATGACCTTTTTAGTTTCCTCAACACTGCCAAATGTAAACTGTAGGGTCTAGTCCACGACCACACCATAGTCAACGGGACAATTTGAGTCAAGGTTGCCCACATGCCCAACAGGTCATTGTGAGTGTGGTCTCCGACCATTCTTGAAATGCCAGGGTGGCAGGTCTATGGTGCCGCGGTGAGGCTTTTCTATACTGAAGCTTCACATACTCCTAGGAATGAGAGGAGAATCTCGTCTCGACTCCAGGAGCAGAAGCAAACCCACCTCCACAACCACAAGTTCGCGTGGGGGATCAAATTTCGTGAAGTGGCTGGGTCGACTTGTAACGAATTGCGTTCAGCGATCGTCATTGGCTGGTTACTTTCGCGAAACAAGGCCAGACGGACTTCGCACATCTGGGATGTTCGGCAATTCGTTGCCCACAAGGGCCGATACCCGTAGAGAAGATCGAAATACATGTAGTGCCATAAGCTCTACACCACATTACCAGCTGGACTAACATCAAGTCCAACATTTAGTCAAAATCGACACTTTTTCCTCACCTGTCCTTTAATCTGTCGTCCTCCGATCACCCACACTCCACACCTGTCATTTCGTCGAGAGTTGCTGGTTACACTGTCTCTTTGTTTCGTCACTGGCGTTGTCGATGCTTTTTTTTTATTGATGTCAAACAGTTCGTAAGTGTCAAATGTTGTAGCCTGTAGTGAGGTTTGTCTTAGGGTGTACAAATGTTAGGGTTTGCTATATGTACCCCAACCCTCATCAATAACACAACACTTTCATTCTTGACATGGTATCACCTAGATTAGGATCCTGTGGGATCCTGCTCCTCCCGTCCTTGTTCGTTCCGCCCGAGCTTGTCTCGCTTTCTCGTACTAGTCGTACCCGTCTTGCCCGAGCCTAGCGCCGGCCCGATCCAGTCTCGCTCTCTCGTACTAGCCGTACCCGTCTTGCCCGAGCCTAGCGCCGGCCCGATTCAGTCTCGCTCGTTCGTTAGCGTCCGCTCCGCCGACCCGCTTTCCCTTTAGCGTAGCGCCTTCCCCCCCCCCCCCCCCCCCTTGCCCGTCGCGTCACGCTCTCCCCGGCTTCCCGTCCCGTCACGCCCTCCTCCACTGCTCGTCGCGACGTGCCCTCCCACCCTGACCGTCGCGTCATGTCCTCCCCCCGCTGCCCTAAACGCCCGCTCGCGCGCCGCGCCTGTCGCCGCGGCGCCCCTTATTTCCGTCGCCGCGGCGCCCCGCATTTCGTCGCCGCGGCGCCCCGCGTTTCGTCACCGCAGCACCCCACATTTCATCACCGCGGCACCCCGCATTTCGTCGTCGCGCCTGCCCGTACAGCCCGCCGCCACGTCTGCTCGTTGGGCCCGACCGCGGGCCCGCTCGTCCCGCCGCCGCGCCTGCCCGTACCGCCCGCCGCCGCGCCTGCTCGTTAGGCCCGGCCGCGGGCCCGCTCGTCCCGCCGCCGCGCCTGCCCGTATCGCCAGCCGCCGCGCCTGCTAGCTAGGCCCGCTGCGGGCCCTCCCTGACAGCCGCCGCGGGCCCTCCCTTACAGCTGCCGCGCCTGCCCGTACCGCCCGCTGCCGCGCCTGCTCATTAGGCACGCCGAGGGTCCTCCCTTACAGCCGCCGTGGGCCCTCCCTTGCAGCCGCCGCGCCTGCCAGTTCAGCCAGTCACCGCACCTCCTCGTTAGGTCCGCTGCGGGCCCGCTCATTAGGCTCTTCCTTCGCACCGCTGCGCCTACTCATTCAGTCCGCCGCGGGACCGCCCCTAGCCCCGTTGCGCCCGCGTTTTGCGCCCGTCACGGACTTGCCCTAGCCGCCCACCGTCCCTACCAGTGCCACCCACCGCCGGACTTGTCGCTTCTACTTACATTATGGCGACCCCTAGGGTTCTTCGCCTTGACGTTGACAGTAGACCGCTCGAGTTTCCGGTCTAGCTCCTACGCGCGCGTCGCCTTTTAGAGAGCCAGGTTCAGGCGGGCGAGTCCCTTTGGGCGCACGCTACTGGTGACCTTCCAGTGCCCGACGACCCTACGCCTTTAGGCACCGCCCCTGACGACGCAGCCAGGGACCGCTTCACCCGTCAGCGTGCTGACTTGACGGCGTGGAAGTCGCGCGGCGCTGCGGCCTACATCGCTCTTAGCAGCCTCCTCCCTGAGTCTTAGGAGGCCCACTTCACTTAGGTTCGCAATGCTAGTGAGTTCCTGACTGCGATTAAGGCCCGCTACGCTACTCCCACCACTGTCTCTCTTGGCCGACTCTTCCTACCGTTCTTGTTCTCTGACCTCGCCTCGTTTGAGCGCTCTGCTAACTTGATTGCTCACCTCCGCTCGCTTGATTCTAGCTACCGCGCTGCTTGCACTGAGGCAGAGCTTGCACTGCTTCCTCCCCCCATGGCGATTACTATCTATTTCATCGCCACTAGCCTCCCTGACCGCCTTGCCTCGGTCCATGACACGCTTCTTCTGAAGCACCCTAGTGAGCTCACTATCGAGGTCCTTGAGTCTGCGCTCAAGGACGTCGAGAGCAACCTCCGCTCCGTAGCCTCCGCCTCTGGTGCTCTGCCCCCTCCACTGTTCCACGGGTGCACTGTCCCTCAGCTGCCCACCTTTACAACCTCTCTAGCCACTGCTGCTACTCACGTGACTGCAGCTGCTGTTACGACTTCTTCGCGGTCTCGAGGTAGGGGTGGCAAGAGGGGCAGTTAGGGTACAGGTGGCGGCAGCGGTGGAGGCGTTGGCGGCGGAGGTGGCGGGGGTGGCGTGCCGACTGGTGGCGGAGGGAGCGCAGGGCCTGGAGAGGCGTCTCGTGCAGCGGCCAATGACTCCCCTACTTCAGCTGGTGGAGGCGACACCCGGGCTCGTCAGCCACCTTCTGGTCTGCCGGCCGCGGCGGGTGGAGCAGCGGCGTGGTACCTGGCCCAGCGGCAGCAGCAGCCCCTCCCCTCGCAGCAGCCCTCGCAGCAGCAGTGGCAGCAGCAGGTTTTGGGGCCAGGACAGCGCCAGCCCCAGCGAGGTGTTGTTCACCCTTCGTGCACCTATCAGCTTCTGACAGGTCCTCGCCGAGGCCAGCCTTGTGGCCGCACCCATCCTCTTGGTCAGTTTTTTTCTCAGCTCACTGACACAGTTCGCTTGGCCTTTGGCATTGGCGGCCCTACCCTTGACTAGTTTCTTCTTGGTCAGACGTACGGCTCCGCTCTTTGGGGCATGTCAGCTTCTCAGTTGGTTGATCTCTTAGGAACTCCTCGTGCTATGTATGCTGTTGTTGACTCTAGTGCTTCTTACTCCGTTTACTCAAGTGTTGTTAGCTTAGGTGCTAGTCTTGCTGAGTTGCCTGTTGCTAGTGTAGGCACTTGTGTAGACACTAGTCCATGAGCTACTTCGAAGGACGCTTCGCTGTCTTTCACTTTGGACTCTGGGGCTTCGCACTGCTTCTTCCGGGACCACACGACACTTACTCCGCTTCCGACGCCGGTCTCTGTCGCTCTGGCTGATCCCACCTCGGGACCAGTCACTGCTCGCTACACTACTACTCTTCCGTGCCCTGCTATTCCCTCTGGGTCTCTGACTGGCTTCCACGTCCCCTCGTTCTCGCGGAACTTGGTGGGCGTGAGGCCTCTTGTGAGTCAGCACGTGAGTGAGTGGATTGAGCCCTCTGGTGAGACGGCGGTTTGTGTTGACGGAGACATTTACACGCCTCTTGCCACCTTTACAGCTGAGCCGCGCTCTGGTCTCAACACACTTCACACTGGCTCTGGTGGGCAGCAGCAGCAGCAGCGACTATTGCCCCCGGCCCCTTTTCCTTCCCCCAGTATGGTCCCTGCGTCTCACCAGGTTGCTGCGTCTCCCCAGGTAGCTGTGTCTGGTCAGGTTCCCGTGTCTGGTCCAGTTGCTGCGTCGTGCTCCTGCCGGTCACTTGCCCACCCCACCGTTCTGTGGCACCACTGGATGGGGCACCTGTCTCTCCCTCGTCTGCGCACTATGTCTCGTCAGCGTCTTGTCTTGGGCCTCCCACGTGTCTTGCCGTCGCTGCCGCCATTGCTTGCACCACAGTGCGGTCCCTGCGTCGAGGGTAGGCTACGCGCCACCCCTCACTCCTCCTCCCTTCGTCCGGCCACCGAGCCTTTTGAGACGCTCCACTTGGACGTCTGGGGCCCCGCCTCTCGCCTTGGCCCTGAGCATGAGCGTATCTTTCTGGTGGTCGTTGACGACTACTCTTGCTACACCACAGTGTTCCCCCTTGCGAAGAAGTCTGAGGTGAATTCTACGCTGATCAGGTGGTTGCTTACCACTGAGGGCACTCGTGGTCGTCGAGTCAGCTGCCTTCACTCCGACCGTGGGGGTGAGTTTCGCTCCGGCATTCTCACTGGATTCTGTCACGAGCAGGGCATTTGTCAGTCCTGGACGCTTCCAGAGTCCCCACAGCAGAATGGGGTTGCTGAGCGCCACATAGGCTTGGTCATGGAGATCGCCCGCACCTCCTTGACTCACGCCCGTGCCCCCCATTTTCTGTGGCCGTACGCGGTTAGGTACGCCGCTCACTAGCTGAACCTCTGGCCACGTGTCTCTCGGCCAGAGGTTTCACCGACTAGTCTTTGGACCGGGTCCCCTGGTGTTGCGTCGCGGTTTTGTGTCTGGGGTTGCTTGGCTCTTGTTCGCGACACCTCCGCGGACAAGATCTCGCCTCGCGTCATTCCCTGTGTCTTCCTTGGTTTCCCAGAGGACTCCTCTGACTTCACCTTTTACCACCCTCCCCTTCACCGGTTCTTTGACTCACGTGACGTCAGTTTCGACGAGTCCGTCCCC